CTGGAGAAGGACGTCATGCTTGGTAAAGTGGAGGGTCAGCGAAACAGAGGAAGACCCTCAACGAGATGGATTGACACAGTGGCTGCAACAATGGGCTCAAGCATAACAATGATTGTGAGCATGGTGAAGGATCCGGCAATGTTTCGTTCTGCAGTACATAGGGTTCCTATTAAGTCAGAACCAACTCAACAGCACCCAACAACAAGAAGCCACTCCTTGGAAACTGTATGGGGCAGTTCTACTCTGTCCTATGGGATCCCTATGAGTGGGAATAGATTTGACTGCAACAGGTTTGGTTTGGTTTGGTTTTAGAGGATCTGTAGTGATGTCTCCCTATTTCATTCCTGATTTTGGTAATTTTTGTTTTCTCCTTTTTCTTGATAAACCTTGAAAGAATTTATCAATTTTATAATTCTTCAAGAACATTTGATTTTCTTGATTTTCTTTATTGATTGCTGGATTTCTAATGTATGCTTTTGTGCTCCATTAATTTATTATTTCCTTTAACTTCTTCAGGGTTTAACTTGGTATTATTGTCCTAGATTCTAAAGGTAGAAGCTTAAACGTTGATATTTAAAATGTGTTATTTTCTAATACTGGCATTTAAAGGTATAATTTTTCTCTCCAAGGAACTCTTTAGATATATCCACATATTTTGATATGCTGTGTTTTAATTTTCATTAGATTTGAAATATTTTATAATCTCTTGTGCTTTCTTTTTTGTCCCATATGTTGTTTAGAATCGTCTTGCTTAATAGCTAAATATTTGGAGATTATTGATTTCTAATATGATATCTTTGAGACTTTATATGCTTCCAATCTTCTGAAATTTACTAACACGTTTTATGCCCCAGTATATGGTCTATCTTTGTGAATGTTCCAAGTATACTTTAAAAATAATATTTATTCTACAGGTTTGGGTATAGTTTTTTTTAATAAATGTTAATTAAGTCAAGTTATTGGGATATTATATTCTTCTGATTTTTAATTATCTAAACAATTCAAATAGTTTTTTACACAATTCGTGCAGAAAACTTTTGAAAGTTGACCTAAATGTAGAGCACCCAAACCAACAAACAAAAAGTGGCTCCCATGTGACTCAATATTTTTATTTATCCCTTTCATGCTTAGATTCGGTTTCAGGTTATAAATGAAACTTGGAACCAAATTAGTCATTCCTGATCTACTAGACTCATTTGAACCCAATATACCTTTACCTAGAATTCAAAAACAAGGCCAAAACTAGGAAGTCAGAGGAATTATGTGCATACAATAATAGTCTTATTTATAAACAAGTCTGTATGTCTTCTGTGTTGCCCTTACATGGAGCTAAGTGTCACTTAGGGGAAAAATCTACAAGAACACTTGTATATATACAGAAATATTATGTAGTAAGGGTTGGGTCAATAGAAACAAACATTAGGTAAACTCTGGTCACTCCATACTGCCTTCATACGGAAGTCTTGGGCACAAACACATTTGTGTGTGTGTGTGTGTGTGTATAGCAGAACCCTGCCATAAGGAAATAACATGCTCCTAGGACTGAGTAAAAACACTCCGTTAAAGCATTCTTGAACAGGAATGCTGGTACCTTAAAGGTACAACTTCAGTGAGGTGCCATGGATCACTTTTGTGTGGCCTTTGTACCCATAGTCTTATAACTTCCACCCAAGTGATTGGGCAGGACTGTGCAGATATGGTAATTGTGGCCCACCAAAGGGATTGGTCAGTTTCGCCATCCCGCTGGGCAGAGGTGGGAAAGAGAGAAAGAATCCCACCACCACCAAGGAAGAACAGCCAGAAGCCAGCACATCCTTTAGACCCAGGATCCCTGTGCTAAGAAGCTCCTGGAAGCAGGAGACTGAGAGAGAAAGCGAGCTGTAACCCTGAAGACAGTGAGAAGTGGTGGCAAGAAGAGCCCTTGCGGCAGGAGATGGCACGGCGGGCTTCCTGGCCCACGAAGAGAGAAAGCTGAGTGCCTTTGGGCAGAGGCCTAGGGCCAGGGAGAGGCGTGCCTGCGAGCACAGCTGGGAAGAGGCTTTTCTGGTGGAAGAACGGTATCCTTGAGTGTTTCTGAGCCTGAATTGTAACCTGTTACTTACCTAATAAACCCCATTAATTATGAGTATGGTCTGTGAGTTTTGTGTGGCCATTGCAATGGATTATCAAACCCAGCAGAGAAGCACAGAGTCCTATGAGAGGGATGGTTGGTAGTGTCAGAGTTGGTAAAGATGGCAGAGAGAGGAGGCATATCTAACCTCCGCCGCATAGGAATCAGCTTTGGGCTGTTGATCTTGATTCTCCGTGCCCCTCATTAAGTTAGAAGAGGTCAGACACTGCCCCCACGCTGTTTTTACATTCAGTATTTAATTCTGAAGGATCTCTTATAAGACACCATGGTATCTGAAACACTTTCAAGTCTATGAACTTTTCCGTGAAAAGTTTCACGTTTTAAAAATCATTATTCATCAATTTACTACCATTAAAGAAAAAAATCATAGTTAACATAATACATTTGCAGGTTATTTCTAAGTGCAGAAGAGAGGTTCTTAACCCACGTTGATTTAGTATTTGGTAAAGCTTTCAATTTCTTAGCCTTTAAACAAATAATATGCAGTTTGTTCATATTACACCTGTAACTTCCACACTCCGAAACCTATAGTCACCAATTAAAATCTGTAAACTGTTTCCTGGAATCAGTATTTCTTTTTTTCTGTTTAGATTTTTCACCAACCTAACTAATACATGAATTAGTAGACAACAATGGTAATACTAAGGTAATCAAAAGCAAACAGATTGCAGCTCAAATTTTGACAAAGCGTTTACATGTGTTCAAAGACCTTCGTGACACTGTGCTTGAATTCTTTGACCTACAAAGGACTTAGGTCACTAGTAAAAATGGTTATTACTTTAATGATCCATCATTAATTTTTACCCTAGTATGTACACTCCTCCATATTTAGGGTTAGAGTACACAGTCCATGTAGCATTTCTGTTCAAGTTATTGACTCAAAGAAGACAGAAGTATTTTAATTTAAATTTCTAGAGAAAGGCTTCATTTAGTCCTCTTCCAAACAGTATTTCCTTCCTCCTTTGGGTTCTTTCATACTTAAACAGTATGTTTGGCAGAACCATCTTTGTAATATAAAACCAAACTCAGACCCATTGCCATCGAGTCAATTCCGACTCATAGCGATCCTATAGGACAGAGTAGAACTGCCCATAGTGTTTCCAAGGAGCGGTTGGTGGATTCAAACTGCTGACCTTTTGGTTAGCAGCCAAGCTCTTAACCACTGTGCCACCAGGGCTCCATCTTTGTAATAGGTGCTATATAAAGTCAAATGCATAAGGATAGAAGGACAAGACTAAAACGTCAATATTTGAACTGATAAAATAGAAGTGTGGCTATGCTGTAAAGTAGCAAAACATGGTGCCTGGCACATAGTAGGCATTCATTCAATATTTGATGAATTAATGAATAACTTAAATGACCAAATGAAATGTGATCTGTAGCCATTATGAAGCCCAGATGTATCAGCTAAAACATCTGAGCCAAAGGTAAACCACAAAAGAATATGAAGACTCATAGCATTTCATTCTTTGAAAGCATCTTTGACTCGCTGGAGGTGAACATGCCTTTAAGTGAGCTATATAGGCATGGCTCAGGCATCGAAAATGAGAGCCATCACTGAAAAGAAATGTGATATTTCTGCTTCTTGAGAAACAAAGGTAAAGCAGAAAGCTTCATTCGCTATCCATGTGTCCCACGCAGAAGTCATCATACCAAAAAAAAAAAAAACCAAAACCACTGAATCAATTCTGACTCTTAGCGACCCTATAGGACAGAGTAGAACTGCCCCATAGAGTTTCCAAGGAGCAGCTGGTGGACTCAAACTGCCAACCTTTTGGTTAGCAGCCTGAGCTCTTAATCACTATGCCAGCAGGGTTTCTAGAGAACGTCATAGGCATTGGGAATGCACCTACCATTGACCCTTAGCATTCTCATGGAGAAGCTGAATGATATCTCCATTTCTAACCAGGAAGTCTTCTGAGCCTCTCTTCCTGCAGTCGGCTAGGGCTTTATATTTTCCTGGAGACTGTAAAGTTGCTTTGAGAAATTACATTACAAACTTGGTTGTGAAACAACTTGCAGAGTTTCATGCTTTGTGACATAAAGAATTTGCTCTTTAACGGTAAATGTGGTTGCTGCAGCAGTTTTGCAAGAACAAACAACATGGAGCAGTGTGTGATGGGAAAAAAAAAAAGCAGAACATGTATTCATTCCACCTACAGAATTAACTTTTATTTGAAAACAGAATTACAGCATGAAGTATCCAGAAAACAATAGAGCACAACTAATTAAGTTACATGACTTATAAGCACAAATCCAGAAAAATAAGCACAGAAATATTAACTTTGAAAATACTGTTATTTTTAAACTATTCTCATGAACAATTATTCTTGGCACAGACAGAAGACAATGGCCCTGAGCAAAGATTTACTAATACCTCCAAAAGGATTTCTGTGCTTTGCATAATTTTGCACAGGTTAAAATAATGGGCACAAAAGCTCTAGGTCCAATAATCGCATATTAAATCATAATATTGTGCTTTACTTGTGCTTAATAGTTTGGCAGCTATAACTTTAACTTACACCAATAATAAGCAAAATAATCCAAGGCACACATTGCATTTGGTTACAAAGTAGATGGAGAGGACATAGTTAATCATTTTCAAATCCAAAAGTATTCTGAAATGAGAATTTTTCCAGCAGAATATCTTACATATTGAATAAACAATTGTTAAAAGAGTACCATGATTAAAATCCAAAAATACTGAAAAAGAAATAACCATGTACTGTCAATTCTTTGCATGTCCAAAGGAACGAGCATGAAAACATCCGCATCATTTCGAGTGCCCATCTTTTGAGCAGTACTTGTTTTCAAAGACGCTGAGAAGTAGGCAGTAAAGAGCGACTTGTCATTTAACACAGTAGCTTCATCAAGATAGGAGAGCTGTCTCTGACACAGGCCTCTACAAAGGGAAGGAGCACCCTTCGTTTCTCAGTTCTTCACTTGATAAAGTGAGGCCAAAAAGGCAGATCTTTCCAACTTTTTTTGGTTTGGAATGCATTGTATGGTTCTTTCGTAGGTTCTCCTAAGTAGCACAACTCAGGGAATTATTGGGAGAAGAGAGGATAACTAATTTTTTTTTTTAAATACTCCCATCACCTGGGATTAAAGCATTAACCAATTTTGCATATTTACTTCACTTTCTGAAACTATAGCTGGAAAAATCTTACTTAAAACTTAGAGAGTTCTCATAAACCAGAGACTGCATCAGCCTGAGACCAGAACTAGAGGGTGCCCGGCTACCACCAATGACCCCCCTGACAGGAAACACAACAGAGAGTCCCGGATGGACTAGCAGAAAGATGGGGTGCAGAACTCAAATTCTAGTAAGAAGACCAGACTTAATGGTCTGACCGAGACTGGAGGTACCCCGGAAAGCATGGCCCCTGGATTCTCTATCAGCCCAGAACTAAAACAATTTCCAAGGCCAACTCTTCAGACAGGGATTGGACATAAAGTGATACTCGTGAGGAGTGTGTCTCTTAGCTCAGGTAGATACAAGAGACTAAACGGGCAGCTTCTGTCCGGAGGTGAGATGGGAAGGCAGAGAGGGTTAGGAGCTGGTTGACTGGACATGGGGTATCAGGGGTGGAAAGGGAGGAGTGTGCTGTCATAGTATAGGGAGAGCAATTAGGGTCACATAACAATGTGTGTGTGAATTTTTGGATGAGAGACTAACTTGAATTGTAAACTTTCACTTAAAGTACAACAATTAAAAAAAAAAAACTTAGTGAGTTCTTGACAATCCTTTAGTAGGACATTAACAGCAAATGTTTAATCCCAAACTGGCTTCCCCAGATTTTGGCTCACGTCTGAACAACTACCCTCAGTCCTCCCATCTTCAGATAATAGTAATTCAGGAGATGCAAGTTTGTCTTTTTTTTTTTTTTTCCTTAATTAGTCTAAACCAGTGGCTCTCAAAGTGTGGGAGGCAGAGCCTTAAGCATCCCTGAGATTCTTTCAAAAGTCTTCAAGATCAAGACGTCATTTGCCTTTTTCACGCATATCTTCTGACAAGTGTACAGTGGAATTTTCTAGAGGCTACATGACATGATATCACAACAGATTAAATGCAAAAGCAGATATAAGAATCCAGCTGTCATCTACTAAGCCAGATGTTAAAAAGAGTTGCGAAAGAAAAGTAAAATGCCACTCTTCTCATTAATGCTTTTTGTTTTGAAAAAGGCAGCTTTTTAATAAAAATTATTTTTGTACATGTACAATGAGTTTACTAATGTCATTTTAAAATAAAGTATAGAATAATTTTATATTTCTCTGCTTTAATATATAATACGGTAAATATCAATAGATGTAAACCATATGAACAAAAGCTCTTTGGGGTTCTCAATAAATTGTTTAATAATATTTTACTGTGTTTTTAGTGAAAGTTTACACAGCAAATTAGGTTCCCATTTAACAATTTCTACACAAGTTGTTCAATGACATTCGTTAGATTTGGGGGTTCTCAATAATTTTAAGAATGTGAAGGATTCCTGGGATTAAAAAGTTTGAGAACTGCTGGCCTAGACAGTTAACTCTGGGCAAATATTTTACCAGCTCTGAGCCTCAGTTTCCTCCTCTGTAAATTGGAGGTTATAAAGCCTGCCCTTTCTCACACTAATACTGTGAAGATTAAATGTGAAATCATTTGGTAAACCGTAAACCACCATAGAAATGTGCACTATTATCACTGTATTACTAGAAGAAAGCATATTTTATTACTTTTTAAAGAAAGCATTCCAGAGTCCATGCTATCCAGCTTTGTGATTATCCATGCCATTACTCCCTTCTGCCAACGTTAGAAGCGCCAAATTGAATCAGCTCCTCTGGAGGGGACCACTGGAAAGGACCATTCCCACGCTCTAAGCTGATGGCTTCATGGGGGATTTATCCTAATCAGTCCTAACTCCCCTTTGATAACTCACTGGAGTTCTAACCATTTCTTTCAAAAAACACTTCCTTTTATCCTAAAGCAACGTCCTTTAAGTTTTACAGGGAACCTCCTTGCTCGAATATGCTGAGATGTGGTATCATTAGTACAATCTTTTTGAGAGCTCACTAAAATATATTCCTGTAGACTTTATTTGTAAACCCTGGTGGCTTAGTGGTTAAGAGCTACGGCTGCTAACAGAAAGGCTGGCAGTTTGAATCCACCAGGCGCTCCTTCGAAACCCTATAGGGCAGTTCTACTCTGTCCTATACGATCGCTATGAGTCGGAATCGACTCAACGGCAATGCATTTTTTTTTTTTTAGATGTTATTAGCTTTTAATGTGTAATGTTTATTCCCTACGTTTTCCAATCTGGAATCTAAACTGATTTTTTTAAAGTATAGTTGCAGCTTCTTTGCTCTCAGATTCTATCTCACATGCCTACATGAGAAAACGGTGGGGAAAACTCAGCACAGGATAAAACTTGTCAACTCATAGACTTGGAATGATTCATTATCACATCAGCTTCAGTATGGGCTTCATGGATAATGCAAACAAGTTCTACTTAAAAAGAGAAGTCCTTACAGAATGTTCCTAATGAGACTTGTTTCAAATTCTTTGGCCGTGAAATGTATCTGATGACCTCAAGGATACGGAGAAGTTAGTTCTTAAATGCCCCCTATTTCATCAGTAAAACTGTCTCAAGGGCTTTAATTTTACCATGTCATTACTAACCATCAGGGATCTATCTTCTTCACGTTCTGCATAAGCAGAATAGAAAAATTCGCCTGACCATGCCAGGGGTTCTTCAGAGGTTTCGGCAGAAGGTGATACTTTGGTCCAAACTGTAAGGCAAGAAATGGATGGTCAAAGTTACTGAATGGTGCTTGTTAACCCCAAGGAGAGAAGTCAATCTAAGTATAATAATCAAGGCTGTAAGCTTCAATGGACCAAGAAAAGTATCTTTCTATATATCATAAAACTTCCCATTAGATTGTACTGTTTTTAAATTTCTGACATTTCAGAAAGGGCCTGGGCTATCATTTACTTCCTTTATTTTTTAAAATGGTTACAGGTTGGTGTTGGTGGGAGAGTTGTTAAAAAATAACTTAAATAACATTTTGGAGAATATTTACCCTTCTTACAGAAAATTATCTCTTCCAAAAATTCTTTCTACTGAGTTTTTATTGGCACTACTCATATAGCACTTACCACATTCTGCCTGGTATTATAATTATTTTTGACTTGTTATATGTCTCCTACTGGGCAGAGACCATGTGTTACAAGTACCTCCTTGTAAGTCTCCTAAGACCTCTGCCTACATGAGGTGCTTAATTTAAATATATATATACATATATATTGAATTGATTTGGATTAAGCAATCAAATTAAGGAGAGAATGAACAGAATCTCATCTTGGCCACACCAATCTATTCATATAACCTTGGAAAAGTCATCTCAACTTTCTCTAGCTTGGTTTCCTCATACCTAAGATGAAGGCAATGGCACCAGACTCTCTCCTCACCGCTTTGGGGACAACAGCACAAATGACCTAAGGGATGTGACTGTCCTAGTCATCTAGTGCTGCTATAACAGAAATACAACAAGTGGATGGCTTTAACAAAGAGAAGTTTATTCTCTCACAGTCTAGTAGGCTAGAAGTCCAAATTCAGGGTGCCAGCTCCAGGGGAAGATTTCTCTCTCTGTTGGCTCTGGAGGAAGGTCCTTGTCATCAGTCTTCCCCCGGACTAGGAGCTTCTCCGTGCAGGGATCCCAGGTCCAAAGGACACGCTCTGCTCCTGGCACTGCTTTCTTGGTGGTATGAGGTCTCCTTGTCTCTCTGCTCGCTTCTCTCTTTTATATCTCAAGGGATTGCCTCAGGACACAATCCAATCTTGTAGATTGAGTCCTGCCTCACTAACACAACTGCCACTCATCCTTCCTCGTTAACATAATAGAGGCAGGATTTACAACGCAGGAAAATCACACAGTACTGGGAATCATGGCCCAGCCAAACTGATACACACATTTTTTTGGGGGGGACATAATTCAATCCAATTATGAAACGGATAACTGAAAGTTGAGCATGCTTCTAATTACTTGTTTCTCCTTAACTAGTGGAGAACTCTTCCAGCATAAGGGCCTTCATATTTAAGCACTGAGTATCAGGCATGGGGTTAGGTATTTCTCAGGGTAGTATGTGCTCTTGGTCCCAGGCTTGTTTAAGTGACCCTGCTGTACGATTCTATACCACCTTGTACTTCCCTGTTATAATAATTAGCACATTTAATTTTAATTGTATGTTGAATTGCCTTTCTACCCTCCTAGTTCCATGGGGACGGTGGCTGAGTGTACCTTAATTAGACTGTATACCCAGCACTTTGCACAAGTCCCGGCACACAGTGTTATATTATTTGTTGAATTAAATTGTTTGAAACCAATCACTCTGAATGACACGATTTGCATAAAAACAAGAAATATTCCAGCTGTAAATGACTCTTCTCTATTCATTAAACATTTGGTAAGTGAAGGCTGCATTCCTTGAAGCCAGTCCAAAAGCAAACTCACTGCCATTGCAATTCCAACTCATAGCGACCCTACAGGATAGGGTAGAACTGCCCCATTGGGTTTCCAAGGTTGTAGTCTCTATGGAAGCTGACTGCCCCATCTCTCTCCTGGAGAGTGGCTGGTGGGTTCGAACCACCGACTTTTTGGTTAGCAGCCGAGCACTCAACCATTGTGCCACCAGGGCTCCTTTTTGAAGGCGGTCTATGTGTTTCATTCATCTCTGTATCCTCTACAGCAGGGGCTCAAACTTGAGCATGCATCAGAATCACCTGGAGAGCTTGTTAAAACTCAAGAAGGCTGGGCTCCAATCCCAGAGTCTCTGATGCAGAAGGTCTGGAGTGAACCTGGAGAATTTGCCTTCCAAACAAGCTTCCAGGTGATGCTGTGGGGTTCCAGGGAGCCCTCTTTGACAACGATGGCTCTATACTGCCCATCAGAGTGTCTTGCATATGTAAGTCATAAAAGCCTTTTAGAAATGGGTTAATTTTGTTTTTGGGGTTTTTTTTTTTATACAAAATAATAGACAGATAGCATTTCCAAATTAACAATGGTAGATAAAAACATTCAAAGCCATGAATCTTACACATACTTGTGTAAGATTACACATACCTGTGTTTGCTTCTGCCTGAGCCGGTGCGATTACTTCACTAACCTCCACCGTAGCGCCGGAGTGTTCAGATTCAGTCTCCTCGGTGCTTATAAAACCTCCCTGTTGCTTTCTGAAATAGTTAATGTGTAAAAATAAGGGCGCTTTTGTACAGTCTAAGAGTAATAAGAAATTTAAAATGGTATTTCTTCCACTGATACCATGTGTTAAGAACATACTTGGAGAATCCATTCAAACAGAGCTGATAGCCCCCTTTTTAAGTCCATGTGATTATAGTCCATAATATGCAAAAGCATAAACCCTAGGATTCAAGCCAGCAGGTCCTCTCTTTATTAGTCAATGAAAAAACTACTATCTACTAGTTCTCAGAAAGGTATATCGTGTAAAATCCCCATTGCGCTACAGATTTTTAGCCTTAGTGAACTAGGTAAGATGTGTATAAATGAAGATTAAACCTTAAACTAATTCATATTGTTGAGTTTGTCCCAGCTATTATTAAGTCAGTTAGTGCATCAAACCTAGAGACTTTACTCATATATGATAAAAAAGGAGCTCTGGTGGCACAGTGATTAAGGGCTCGGCTGCTAACCAAAAGGTTGGTGGTTCGAACCTACCAGCCACTCCATGGGAGAAAGATGTGACCTAGGAAGCCTTTTGGGGCAGTTCTACTCTGTCCAAATAATTATTGAAATGACCACATTCTCTGAAGTGTTCTAATTCCTCTACCCTTCCCTGAAACAGGTATTATCTTCAACATGGAGGGGAACCAAAGGATAATTGTTAGGGACCACCAGGCTCCAAGTATAAGACTAAGCCAAAACAAAAAACAAACCCGTTGCCATCAAGTGGATTCCGACTCATAGTGACCCTATAGGACAGAGTAGAACTGCCCCATGAGGTTTCCAAGGAGCGGCTAGTGGATTTGAACTGCTGACCTTTGGGTTAGCAGCCGTAGCTCTTAACCACTGTGCCACCAGGGCTCCAAGTATAAAGCTAGAACTGAGAAAATTAAGTGTTTATAGAATTTGATGAATTATTGCTAAAATGGCAGGTGGTGTTTGTCAGAGATACTTCAATTACATTGTTTCTTGTTACATATGGAAAACAAAGGATTATGGAGTGATATTCCTTAAAGAAAAATCACTTACTCATTCTGCTGAAGAGAAGGCTGATCCTGGTCTGGTAACTGATTCCGTTGCTCTCGTTTCTGGACTGTGAAATACAACAAAGCTTATTTAAGAGTCATTCAGAAGCCACTCTTCTTACTTCCTTGAAGGCCAATGACTTACACACACACAGACACACACCATTCCCATTAAAAATAACCTTCACTGACTTGAAATAGGCAGAGAGAAGGCCAGTCTGAACTGGAAGTTTGGGAGAGGTCTGAACTATGTAATATTTCAGTCAAGAAACGCAAGTTTAGAACTAGAACTTGGATTACCAAGCCATAATTACTGGTGGTCATAAGCAGAGTTGCCTCATAGGTAGGACCTAGAATTAACACAGTCAATTGGCTGCCTTGCTTCTCAACTGCTCCCATGCATGAGAGTTCATTTTCTAATGTAAAGTTCATTCTCCAAAGCCATTTAAACAACCTCTTGAATCTTGATCTCACTACTAATTAGTTTAACAAACATTTCATGATAAATAGTATAAAGTAAATATCAGCTCCATTCCCCGTAAAGACTATCACAAAATCTGAGTCAATGAGCTGTTCTGAATAGTACATGCTTGAATTTACCTGCCATAAGTTCCTGTTGCTTCAACAAAATAGCTCTTATTTCTTTTAACCATGACATCTTCACATCTATATTTGGAGCCTAAAGATTTAAAAAGAAGGGAGGCAATGCTTTTTAAGAGGATGCGTTATAATAAAACAATTGTCATTAAGCCTATCAAACATAGTATACTCCCTAGAACCCCATATTAAAGTTTTAATCTTTTGACTCTTAAAACTTCTAAGAAGCAAATAATTAGATTAGATGAAATACAGTCAAAACCATTTTGAAATAGCCCTTAAATAATGGAATAACAACACTGAGAACATGTAAAATATAATGTCACTTTTATTTCCTTTTGCAGAAGGGTTCACTAAAAAATGTAAATATTTTTACGTTTAAGTTTGGTAAAATAACATAAGCTCTACTGTTTCTGGAAAGACAATCTATTACAGAACAATTTTAGTTACAGATGATACAGCAAAAGCTTCTTAAAATAGTCTCCAATTAATTACATTAGAAGTTTGACAATAAAATATACCAGAAATATTATATCTAAACCAGACCATGAAAACATATTTTTTATGGATTGTAGCCACCAAGTACAGAATTAAACAAACAAAAGAAACACTGAGCATTTTAAACAGACAGCAGTATATTGAGTTGTCACAAGTCATGATGCAAACAATTATTGAAATGACTACATTCTCTGAAGTGTTCTAATTGCTCTACCCTTCCCGGAAACAGGTTAGCTCTTACAGCACATCCGGCCAGGGTTGTACCCATGTTCTTTAGAAACAGGGATCAAATCTGAATTGTCACAAACCGCATCTCATCAACAGGAACCCTCTGCCTGCTGTCCACAAGAGGATCTCAGAACTGTTAGGAATCTAGAAACTTGACAAGGACAGAGAAGCACCTGCCAAGCTGTCAGTTATAGCTGATAAATCTCCTAGTGTAGCTGTGAAAACAGAAAGCCCTAGAAAGCACGGAAGGCGTATCTCGTGCGTTACTGAAAAAAATGTTTAAATACATCACGACGAGTAATACTCAAATGATATCTAAGTGGCCTACACGAAAGACATGAGAACTTGTGAAATGTGACCAAAATTATTTTTGTTTTCAAATTTAGACTTTTGAATCTTAAAGCAGATTATGGATTCTAGAATAAATTTAAAATGGACAACCTGGATAATGTAAACTTCTTCCTTCCTACTGTACCAGATTTCAAACTTTCGGTTATCTCCTTTTACATATTCCGTGATTCCAACTTCATCCATCTACAAAACAGAAGTCAAAACTTTCATGAGAATTTTATTTTGAATATGAAATTACAGTCAATCTATCTCATCATCTTCTAAATAAAACAGAATTGCTCACTTGGGCAAAATACACATTTTATACTCAACAAATATGAAATGACAGGTACAATCATTGACGAATATTTAAATGTTTTCATTGAACTGTGTACTTTATAGTTTAGAGTACACGCTTCATTCCAATGACAGGAACAGTTGTTATAAATCTGTACATACAAGTAGTTTATCTAAGATTGACTTCTGTTATAAATAAACCACACACTATTAAAACTAATTATTTGTCAATAGAAGTAAAAGTAACTAAACATCAGTGTGAAAAGCATGGAGCCCTGATGGCACAGTAGTTAAGTGGTTAGCTGCTAATTGAAAGGACGGCAGTTTGAACCCACCAGCCACTCCACAGGAGAAAGATGTGGCAGTCTCTTCCGTAAAGATTACAGCCTTAGGAACCCTATGGGGCAGTTCTACTCTGTCCTATAGGGTCACTATGAGTCAGAACTGACTCGATGGCAAAGAGTTTGGTTTTCATTTTTTTGTGAAAAGCAAACCAAAATTAATGTAAATGGTTATTATTATTTGCCAGATCAGTTAATCTTGCCAATTATTACTTATCTCTATAGAAGTGCATTCCACCACTTACTAGCAATGTGACTTGGGGTGAGTTACTCACTTCTCTGTGCCTTATTTTTCCCACCTTTAAAATGCGGATAATAATAGTGCCTACTTCATAGAAAGCTACTATGATGACTAAAATGAGTTAATAGCGGTATTTGTAAACACTTAGAACACAACTGGACCAACAACATAGCACCATCTGCATGTTTGTTAAAAAAAAAAAGGAAAGATGATAATAAATGTATGAACTGAGGAATTTGAAGAACTCAAATCTCTCCATCTGATTAATGTGACTATAGGGCCTTTCTTTTGCCAGCTATAAATACAGCACATAGTCATTAGAAAACACATCATCGGGCCATAGGAGTCCACCTAGGTATTATAGGGTCAAGACAACAGTCCACTTCTAATGAGAACTTGCTCAGCACTAGAGAACACCTCCTTGGAAGGGTAAGTCTTTGAAGCCAATAGCCCAGATTGTTAAGTTACATTTTGAATAGCAATTGTTTAATACTGGAATCTCATGACAGGTAAGTAAGAGGACACAAGTATAACAGGGCCGAAGAAATTTCCTAACTTCCATTGTCTTGGTCAGCGGCATCAACATTTTCCCAGTAATCCTGGTCTAAAACCTTGCAGGCCTCACTAACTATTCTTTTTTAAGGATACTAGGCATAGTAACGGAGCCTTGCTGGCACAGTGGCTTTAAAGCTTGGCTGCTAATCAAAAGGTCGGCAATTCGAATTCACCAGCTGCTCCTTGGAAACCCTATGGGGCAGTTCTACTCTGTCCTATAGGGCCACTATGAGGCAGAATTGACTCGATGGCAATGGTTTTTGAGGCACAGTAACAAGCTGTGCTATGCAGATGACACAACCTTGCTTGCCGAAAGCAAAGACGACTTACTGATAAAGAACAACACTTCATCAAGATTGGAGGAAGACTCATTAACAACCTACATTTTGCAGATGACACAACCTTGCTTGCTGAAAGCAAAAAGGACTTGAAGCACTTACTGATGAAGATCAAAGACTATAGCCTTCAGTATGGATTACACCTCAACATAAAGAAAACAAAAGTCCTCACAACTGGACCAATAAGCAACATCACGATAAACGGAGAAAAGATTGAAGTTGTCAAGGATTTCATTTTACTTGGATCCACAATCAACACCCATGGAAGCAGCAGTCAAGAAATCAAACGTTGTACTGCATTGGGCAAATGTGTTGCAAAAGACCTCTCTGGAGTGTTAAAAAAGCAAAGATGTCACTTTAAGCACTAAGCTGCACCTGACCCAAGCCATGGTGTTTTCAGTTGCCTCATATGTATGTAAAAGCGGGACGATCAGTAAGGAAGACTGAAGACGAATTGATGCCTTTGAGTTGTGGTGTTGGCGAAGAATATACCATGGACTGCCAAAAGAACAAATGAATTTGTCCTCGAAGAAGTAAAACCAGAATGCTCCTTAGATGCAAGGATGGCAAGACTACATCTCATGTACTTTGGACATGTTATCAGGAGGGACCAGTCCCTGGAGAAGGACATCACGCTTGGTAAAGTAGAGGGCCAGCGAAAAAGAGGAAGACCCTCAACGAGATGGATTGACACAGTGGCTGCAACAACGGGCTCAAACATAACAACGATTGTGAAGATGGCATAGCACTGAGCAGTGTTTCGTTCGGTTGTACATAGGGTCACTATGAATCAAAACTGACTCGATGGCTCCTAACAACAACATGTGCATGCGAAAGCTGGACAATGAATAAGCAAGACCGAAGAAAAATTATGTCTTTGAATTATTGTGTTGGCAAAGAATATTGAATGCACAATGGACTACCAGAAAAATGAACAAATCTGTCTTGGAATAAGTACAGCCAGAATACTCCTTAGAAGTGAGGATAGCAAGACTTCGACTCACGTACTTTGGACATGTTACCAGGAGGACATTGTTATGGATTGAATGTGTCCCCCAAAAATGTGTGTCAACTTGGCTAGGGCATGATGTCCAGTATTGTGTGGTTGTCCACCATTTTGTGATCTGATGTGATTATCCTATATGTTGTAAATCCTAATCTCTATGATGTTAATGAGGCAGGATTAGAGGCAGTTATGTTAATGAGGCAGGACTCAATCTATAAGATTAGGCTGTATCTTGAGTCAATTTCTTTTGAGATACAAAAGAAGCGAGTAGAGAGAGAGAGGGACCTCATACCACCAAGAAAGAAGCGCCAGGAGTGGAGTGTGTCCTTTGGACATGGGGTTCTTGCACTGAGAAGCTCCTAGACCAGGGGAAGATTAATGACAAGTACCTCCTCCAGAACCAACAGAGAGAGAAAGCCTTCCCCTGGAGGTGACGTCCTGAATTCGGACTTCTAGCCTCCTAGGCTGTGAGAGAATAAATTTCTGTTTGTTAAAGCCATCCACTTGTGGTATTTCTGTTATAGCAGCGCTAGATAACTAAAACAGACATCATGCCTGGTGAAGTAGCAGGTCATCGAAAAAGAGGAAGACCCTCAGTGAGATGGACTGACACAGTGGCTGCAACAATGGGCTCAAACATAACAACAATTAAGTATGGCACAGGACCGAGCAGTGTTTCATTCCGTTGTTCATAGTGTTGTTATGAGTCAGAACCAAGTCGACAGCAGCTAACAATAAGAACAAAGGCATTACTGTGGGACCAAAGAAGAATCAGATTGATTATTTTCTTTCAAATATCATATATTATTTATTGCCTGTATTTATTGCCTTGTGGTGACTACAAGCCCAACTACTTTCTATTGAAATGTTTCTCACATCTATACCACCCTCTCTCTTTCCATGGTAACCACTGCAGTTTGAATTCTCATGACTTCATTACTTCATACCAGTCCCTCCTTACACTGTTGTTGCTGTTAGGTGCCGTAGAGACGATTCCTACTCATAGCAACCTTACGTACAACAGAACGAAACACTGCCCAGTCCTGTGCCATCCTCACAATCGTTGCTATGTTTGAGCCCATTGTTGCAGCCACTGTGTCAATCCATCTCGTCGAGGGTCTTCCTCTTTTTCTCTGACCCTCTGCTTTACCAAGCATGATGCCCTTACACTACTCTAGAAATATTTTCTTGGTGTGCCATCACTGTGACAAATTAAAGATAAACGAAAAATCAATACCAACCAGGTGTTAATGATGGCCACCCCACAAATAAAATGTAAACCAAATGGATTTGGGTTAAACATACCTATGTTCTATCAAACATGCCTATGTTCTACAAAGAAAGGTAAAGTGTCTTCCCCAGGAATAGGCATAAAGAGAGCAAGAGACCCAAACCCTGTCTGGGACAGAGCATAAATTCTTGCTTCTCAACCAATGTTTACTACAGACATAAGAGATCCCTGGAGATTTCTGGACTTGGAGGTGGACTGATAATATCAAAGCAGCAAGTGGACATTTGTTATGAAAACAGAGTTTTAGAAAAGCTGCTGTGGGAAAATAGAAAGTAGGAGGAGCTCAAGGACCTGACCCTGGGCAGGAACCCAGCTGGGAACAGCTTGGGGTTGTTAAGTCTGTGGGCAGATTCCTAAGCAGGGCCTGCTGATCTGGAACCCTCTTAACACAAACACCTCAGGCCTGTCTCAAGATAAATTATCTTGTCCTCTTTATTAAAACCAGTTGCCATGGAGTTGACTCTAACTCACGGCAACCTCACGCGTGTTGGAGGAGAATGGTGTTCCGTAGGGTTTTCAATGGCTGATTTTTCACAAGCAGATTGCCAGGCCTTTCTTCTGAGGCACCTCTGGGTAGACTCGAACTTCCAATCTTTCGGTTAGCAGCTGAGCACCTTAACTGTTTGCCACACAGGGACTCCTTCCTCTTTATTACTGCTGCTGAAACTTTCACCAATTCTTAAGTATACTGGTGATGACAACTATGAAAGAACATGATGAAAATGATAGCGGTTGGGGAATAGAGGGCGATAATTTTCTCTCTTTTCCAAATTTTCTATAACAAATGTTTTATCACTTTTACAGTTTAAAACTTGAAAGATAAAATTAATGAGCTGTGGATTAAAAATTCAAACTTGCCAATTACAGACTGATGTGAATTGGCAAGTTCCTCTTATAAAATGGCGAAACCAGCTGGGAGTATCATTGAGTTGCTCGTGACTTCCTTAAACAATACTGCTCTCATTAATACTAAACTAATAGCACAGAGTGGCAGTTTGGGTAATAGAAGACAACAAAGTAATTTCAAAGCACTGAGCACTCGGGGAGGCTAGGACAAGGCCGATGTAGAAAGGATTCAGCTGCAGGTAGCTTTGAAACCCAGGAAGGGAGTTACTAGGGAATGAGGGAGGGATACAGAAAGGAAGGTGGGAATATGCTAAGCACAAATGTTATCCATTTTTAAATGCTCCTTGCTGCCAAGACCAAGAGCTCACCCAGTACCATTTGTAAGAGATTGCTAATGGGGGAGCCTGGGACAGGCCCCATCATTTAAAACTGTGCTCTGCAGGAGAAAAGTGAGGTGCAGAACTCAAATTCTAGTAAAAAGACCAGACTTAATGGTCTGACTGAGACTGGAAGAACCCCAGAAAGCAAGGCCCCCGGACTCTCTATCAGCCCAGAACTAGAGCAATTTCCGAGGCCAACTCTTCAGACAGGGATTGGACTGGACCGTGGGACATAAAGTGATACTCGTAAGGAGTGTGCCTCTTAGCTCAAGTAGATACAAGAGACTAAACGGGCAGCTTCTGTCCGGAGGTGAAATGGGAAGGCAGAGAGGGTTAGGAGCTGGTTGAATGGACATGGGGAATCAGGGGTGGAAAAGAGGAGTGTGCTGTCACAGTATAGGAAGAGCAATTAGGGTCACATAACGATGTATGTATAAATTTCTGTATGAGAAACTGACTTAACTGTAAACTTTCACTTAAAGCACAATTAAAAAAGAAAATCACTTTAATAGGTGCTGTGAACTAAAACACAACTCAATGTTAGGCAGATGGAATTTTGGAAAGCTTATGAGATTTTGTATTAAAGCAGATTTGATTAAAAAAAAACAAAAACAAAAAAAAACCCTGTGCTCTGCGGGACACTAGGGAGCCCCCTTGAGGACTCTGCCCTGAGGTTGGCGTAAGGGAGGAAAGGAAGGGAAAAATCAGAGCTGTGCACTCACTCACTCTCATTTCAAGCAGAGAAACTCTGCTTTACCTGATTTATAAATAAGATTTCTACTTAAGATTTCTTTTAAACAAAGGATGTGCAGCTGAAGTATAAAACACTCATTCGAATGGAAAAGTATACAAACAGTGTATTACAAATTGTACACACACACACACACACACACGATATATAGGAAACAATATTACACTACACAATTCATATTATCTTACATTCAAACAGTGCTTGAAACTGTATGATGGATATCTATCAGCGCCTTCTCCGCCTTCGACGCGCCTTTTACAAAAGACAATGGCTTTTTCATATAAGAAAAGGTGTCGCTGCATTGGCTTGAATCTGGCAAAATCCTTCATTTTTGTAGCACCTTTCCGGTGTCCCATCCAGACACTGAATGGACCTTGCAATAGCATCTTGCCCAGGTCATTCAAATTTCCCTAGAATGGAAATCCAAACCCATTAGTACAAGGCAGAGCTACATTCAGATTTTGACATCAACATTTTAGTGTCAGGCTTGAGCTATTAAAACCTGGAGGCATAATTGATAGAGTTTTTAAAGTTTTAATCATTATAACGTTTTAGGTTAGAACACATCACGTGTCACATGGGTACAAACTTGCTGCGGGGGTGGGAGTTAGGCGAAACCGCCCTTGCCCTGGCCTCTTGTCTCCTCGGGGAGGTCTTTCAGCTGGGGAAACATTCCCCAGCTCTTCCTCAGTTCTGATGGGTGGATGACATATACCAGTCCAAGCTTCCCCAGTGGGTGGAGCTAATCTGTTAAAAGGCTGCAGACTCTGAAGATTTGCTCCGTTTCTTCCATATCCATCCTGGACTAGGCCAAGCAGTCATTCTGGGACAGTACATCTCCTCAGCAGACCAAACATTCCTTCAGGCAGCTGTCCCCAGGTCTGGACTTAGGGGTAGGCTTTGGGGACAACTGGAACGTTGCAAACCCATTAGGGTGTGGATCAGAAGCCAATTCTCTACTTGGCATTCGCGATAATAATGCTGCCATTTCGGTCCCATTTGTCTGCCTCTCGCATCATCTTATTTCTCAGTTGGTTCCAGGAGAGGGGAAGAAAAGGGTGTTGACATGCTTACCCCTTCACCCCAAATCCCAACAATTATGAGCATCTACTTACGATATAGCCAGTTATTGCAATCTGATGCATGGAGTCATTAACTGACTTAAGTAATTCCAGCATTGTGTCAAGCGCCTCCTTTAATTGCTCAGTTCCTTCACAGTCTTTGCTATATTTTATCAGCTCCTGTAATTAGAAGCCAGGGATTACGCTTAATATTAAGCAGATATTAATAGCTGGAGACAATTATTAAATTTTCGGCTAACATGTTTTCAAGGGAGAATCCAAAGCTAATGTCACTTTTTTGAGTAATTTTTTTCATATGCTCATTGTTACATTAGTACTCTATTTAATAACAATGTCAAAATTGAAGAAGTGGAAGTGACAGAAAAATATAAAGCAAATGGCGTTCACTGCTTTTGAACTGAAAAAACAATAGTATTAGAACACACTAGAGATTAGTTTTGAAAGCAAGTACACATGGGTGGTACAAATGGTTAATGCGCTCGAATGCTAACCGAAACATTGGTGGTTGAGTCCATCCAGAGGTGACTTGGAAAAAAGGCCTGGTGATCTACTTCTGAAAGATCACAGTAATTGAAAACCCTATGGAGTACAGTTCTGCTCTAACACACACGGGGTCATCATGAGTTAGAATCAACTCAATGGCAACTGGTTTTTACATACAACGATCTGTTTTATCCAAGATGCATTCACGAGTCATACAGTATATTTTGAAAATACACTTCAAATAAGCTATGTTTTATTTATACTTAACTCAGAATTTTAATAATACTTTCACATTACACTAGGTGAGTGCCATTTTCATTCTTCATAGAGAAGGCTCATGAAATTCAACCTCAAAGCCATACAAAATATTTGTCTCTTTAGATCTTAACAGTATTAAAAGTCCTCCACTGAAAATTTATGCGTACTTCAACTGTGACCTGTATGGAGAATTAAATAGCTAAAAAGACTCCTGATAGTCTCAGCGTGACATCTATGCCTAAAGCACTTGCAGAGCCACGGTGCCTCAAAGTAGCACACTGAATTAATTCTATTAGGAAATCTAGCCTTCCCAGTCATAGAGCCTACCTATTTCTAGAGCTTCCTAGTCAGCCACTCCCTTTTCAATGGCTTTGTCATATCTGACCCAGAGAAGTAAATAAAGAATGAAGCAAATGCTTCATGTAATTACCTTCAACAGTAACTGATATTTAGTGATTCGTTGCACTGGTTTGAGTAAATAGGAATCCAGACCAAGTCTGTGTTTTAATTTCCTTTGACATTCCTGTCATTAAAAAATAATTATCAATAAATTTAAATTAAGGCATGTACCTGTGAAAATTCCAAATGTTAACTGATGAGACCCAATGCATGAATGTTTCGTACATCTCAAAGTAAATGTACCGGGAAAATTGCTGTTTCCTATGGTACAGAAACTTTAAGAGGCAATATATCTGAAAAACTACAGTAAACATTTCATGGATTTGAGAGGTAGAAAATCCCAACAATTCAAAGGCAAAAAAAGTTTTCGTATAGACATTCACATTGATGTGGAATGCTAAAAAGGTAAGAAAGGAAGGAATGACTATAGATTAACATGACAAAAAAGCTCTCCAATAAAATAAAAAAGTTTCTCCAATATATTTTTAAAAATAACAAAATATTCAGGTCCACATGTCAAGGCCCAGAAGAGAAATAGGTTGTGCTAAATATAAATAAGACTGGGTTTGAGAACAGTTTTTTTTTAAAGTTTCACAAGAAAAATACAGCCCTCTCAACTGGTGCTATATTTCATCAAGGTTATTGGCTCACTGCCACTATAAATATAAAGACCATGGCATTGGGTCCTGGGAACACTGTCGGGTCCATAATTAGGGCAGATAGGACTGATTAGGAAAAAATGTTTATATAGGATATGTAGAACACAAAGGGATGGGGGGTTATACCTGTGTGAGATCCAAGACCTTCCTCTGAATATGGGTAAAACCCAATATACAATCTAATTCAAATAAGAATTATCAACTTATGGCTAAAGATGGTGAACTGATACATGCATTTAGTTCTGTCACTCTTGAAACTCCACTAAAATAATGGCAAAGGTATATTTTTACAAGGAAAACCAAAAATAACCAATATGAGAGATGAGACAACGTTGACAAAAATTGGAAACCAGGAAACACACTGATAAGTGGTAAATAACTGAGCACGTTGGAGAAAAGTGGCAGAGGGAAAAACCAAGGAACAACTCAATGTATGTTATAGAACACCGCCAGCTCTCCACAACGATTCAGGAATCATAGACTCCGGGTATCTCTGAGAGTTGGAGATGAAGAAAGGATTCAAAGAAGGATGGCTGGTAAAAGTTTGTTTAAGAAGTAATTCGATAATAACAAGTATTGGCGAGGATGTGGAGAAATCAGAACTCTCATGCACTGCTATTGGGAATGTAAAATGGTGTAGCCACTGTGGAAAACAGTTCTGCAGTTCCTCAAAATATTAAACACAGAGTTACCACATGACCCAGCAATTCCACTCCTAGGTATATACCCCAAAGAACTGAAAATAGATATTCAAACAAAAACTTATGTATGAATGTTCGTTCACAGCAGCACTATTTACAATAGCCAAAAGGTGGAAACAGCACAAATGTCCATCAACTGATGAATGAATGATCAAGATGTGGTATACACATATGATGAAATCTTGTTTGGTCATAAAAAAGGAATGAAGTTCTGATATATGCTACAACATGGATGAACCCTTGAAAACATGCTAAGTGAAAGAAGCCAGAAACAAAAAGTCACATATTGGATAATCCCATATGAAATTTCCAGAATAGACAAATAGATACAGAAAGTAGATTAGTAGTTGCCTAGGGTTGGGGGGTATGGGAGGAAATGGGGGAGGTGACTGTTAAAGGGTTCAAAGTTTCTTTTATGGATGATAAAAACGTTCTTAAATTGATTGTGGTAATGGTTGCACAACCTTATGAATATACTGAAACCACTGAATTTTTCACTTAAAAACGGTGAATTTTGTGGTATTTTAATTATATCTCAATAAATCTGCTATAAAATAAATTAACTGGGCATAAAAAATTTTTTTTTTAAAAAAAGAGATGAAATTAGCCTCTCAAATCCCCATGTTACTATGCACAACTAGGTGGCTGCCCTCCCTCACCCTGGTGGAATGGATGTCTATTATCTGGAGAGAGTAAAACAGAGGATCTTTGGACCAGGGGCTACCAGGTCCAGTTGAGTGCAGTGTACCATACTGAAAAAAGGAGATTACTTGACTATTTACCTACCAAATTAGACACTCCCATCTTTCTTCCCCCATTTGGCTACCAGAACACTGGCAGCCAGACCCTTATGCAGATTGTGGAAACCTACCAGCCTAACAAAAAGGACCTAAAGATACTGGTATTGGAGATCCCTCCCAAGGAAACAGATTGAGGTAAATCATCCTACAATGAGGACTATGGTCAACAAACTTACCCATGCACACAGAACTTCCAATCAGTTTTTTAGTGCCTACACATAATATAAGTAGACAGAGAAGAATCACCAGACACTTAAGGAAAGCATCTAATATGAGTGAAAGATAAAGAAAAATAAAATATAAAAGCAATCTGAAGACAATAGAAACTATATACGGAGGAGAAAATTATTTTTTAAAGGAAAATCTATTATTACTATCCTCATATAAGTAAGTGAAAACATGAAACAAGAAAAGGATGCTATTATTCCCCCTTGAGAACGGGAACCAAACAAGGATGCCCTTTATCACCACTCTTATTCAACATTGTGCTGGAAGTCCTAGCCAGAGCAATTAGGCTAGAAAAAGAAATAAAGGGTATCCAAATTGGTAAGGAAGAAGTCAAAGTATCTCTATTTGCAGATGATATGATCTTATACACAGAAAACCCCAAAGAATCCACAAGAAAACTACTGGAACTAATAAAAGCTTTCAGCAAAGTATCAGGATACAAGATAAACATACAAAAATCAGTTGGATTCCTCTACACCAACAAACAACTTTCAAGAGGAAATCACCAAATCAAATACCATTCTTTGATGGTTAGCCCCCAAGAAGATAAAATACTTAGGAATAAATCTAACCAGAGACATAAAAGACCTATACAAAGAAAACTACAAGACACTACTGCAAGAAACAAAAAGAGACCTGCATAAGTGGAAAAACATACCTTGCTCATGGATAGGAAGACTCAACATTGTGAAAATGTCAATTCTACCAAAAGCAATCTACAGATACAATGCAATCCCGAGCCAAATTCCAACGGCATTTTTTAATGAGATGGAGAAACAAATCACCAACTTCATATGGAAAGGGAAGAGACCCCGGATAAGTAAAGCATTACTGAAGAAGAAAAACAAAGTGGGAGGCCTCACACTACCTGAATTTAGAACTTATTATACCACCACAGTAGTCAAAAGAGCCTGGTACTAGTACAACAACAGAAACATAGACCAATGGAACAGAATTGAGAATCCAGATGTAAATTCATCCACCTATGAGCAGCTGGTATTTGACCACGGCCCATAGTCCATTAACTGGGGAAAAGACAGTCTCTTTAACAAATGCTGCTGGCATAACTGGATATCCATCGGCAAAAAAATGAAACAAGACCCATACATCACACCATGTACAAAAACTCACTCAAAATGGATCAAAGATTTAAATATAAAATCAAAAACTATAGAGATCATGGAAGAAAAAATAGGGAAAATGCTAGGAGCCTTAATACACAGCATAAACACAATATGAACCATAATTAACAATGCACAAGCACCAGAAGAGAGACTAGATAACTGGGAGCTCCTAAAAATCAAACACTTATGCTCAGCAAAAGACTTCACCAAAAGAGTAAAAAGACAACCTATAGACTGGGAAAAAAATTTTGGCTGTGACAAATCTGATCAGCGTCTAATCTCTAAAATCTATAAGATACTGCAAAATCTCAACAACAAAAAGACAAATAACCCAATTAAAAAATGGGCAAAGGATATGAACAGGCACTTCACCAAAGAAGAATTCAGGTGGCTAACAGACACATGAGGAAATGCTCACGATCATTAGCCATTAGAGAAATGCAAATCAAAACAATGAGATACCATCTCACCCCAACAAGGCTAGCATTAATCCAAAAAACACCAAATAATAAATGTTGGAGAGGTTGTGGAGAGACTGGAACACTTAAACACTGTTGGTGGGAATGTAAAATGGTACAACCACTTTGGAAATCGATTTGGTGCTTCCTTAAAAAGCTAGAAATAGAAGTACCACACGATCCAGCAATCCCACTCCTTGGAATATATCCTAGAGAAGTAAGAGCCATCACACAAATAGATATATGCACATCCTTGTTCACTGCAGCATTGCTCATGATAGCAAAAAGATGGAAATAACCTAGGTGCCCATCAATGGATGAATGGATAAACAAGTTATGGTATATTCACACAATGGAATACTACGCAACAATAAAGAACAATGATGAATCCATGAAACATCTTATAACATGGAGAAATCTGGAAGGTATTATGCTGAGTGAACTTAGTCAGTCGCAAAAGGACAAATATTGTATAAGACCACTATTCTAAGAACCCAAGAAAAGGTTTAAACACGGAAGACAACATTCTTTGATGGTTACGAGGGTGGGGAGGGAGGGAGAGGGGTATTCACTAACTAGAAAGTAGACAAGAATTATCTTAGGTGAAGGGAAGAACAGCACACACTACAGGCGAAGTCAGCACAACTGGACTAAACCAAAGCTAAAAAGTTTCCTGAATACAACCAAACACTTCGAGGGACAGAGGAGCAGGGGCAGGGGTCTGGGGACCATATTTTCAGGGGACATCAAGGTCAACTGGCATAACAAAGTTTTTTAAGAAAATGTTCTGCATCTCACTTTGGTGAGTGGTGTCTGGGGTCTTAAAAGCTAGCGAGTGGCCATCTAAGATGCATCAATTGGTCCCAACCCACCTGGAGTAAAGGAGAATGAAGAACACCACGGACACAAGAAAAATATTAGCCCAAGAGACAGAAAGGGCCACATAAACCAGAGAGTCCATCAGCCTGAGACCAGAAGAACTAGATGTCCGGCTACCACCAATGACTGCCCTGACAGGGAACACAACAGAGAGTCCCTGATGGAGCAGGTGAAGGGTGAGGTGCAGAACTCAAATTCTAGTAAAAAGACTAGACTTAATGGTCTGACTGAGACTGGAGGAACCCCAGAAAGCATGGCCCCCAGACTCTCTGTCAACAGAGAACTGAAACAATTCCCGAGGCCAATCTTTCAGACAAAGATTGGACTGGACTGTGGAACATAAAATGATACTCATGAAGAGTGTGCTTCTTAGCTCAATGAGACTAAAGGGGCAGCTCCTGTCCACAGGCAAGATGAGAAGGCAGAGAGGATCAGGAGCTGGTTGAATGGACACGAGAAATCCGGGGTGGAAAGGAAGAGTGTGCTGTTACAGCATAGGGAGAGCAAGTAGGGTCACAAAAGAATGTATGTATAAACTTTTGTAAGACAGACTAACTTGAATTGTAAACTTTCACTTAAAGCACGACAATAAAAAAAAAAGAAAGAAAAGGATGCTATTAAAAGGAATATTCAGAGAACAAAAACGAGTAGGATTCTTCAGACTTAAAAATATAATGGCAGTAATGAAACCCACAATTAAAAAATTGGAAGATAAATTTGAAGAAATCTCTCAGAAATTAGATAAGACAAAGAACTATAAAATAGAGAGAAAACAATTAAAGGACCAACCCAGGGTATCCAACATTCATACAACAGAAATTCCAGAAAGAGAGAATTGGAGAAAATCAAAGAAATAATCCATGTAAGTTTGAATAGGAGGTTCTAAATTCAAAGGGATCACCATAAACCCAGCATAATGGATGAAAAAAAGTGCCAACATCAAGGTACAGCAATGTGAAATTTCAGAACCCTAGGAATAAAAGAAGTCTCCATAAGCTTTCAGAGAGAAGACAAAAAAATTAGGTCATCCACAAAGGAACAAAAATTAAAACGGCATCAGATTTCTCAACAGCAACACTGGAAGCTAGACGTCAACGGAGTAATACCTTCAAAATTCTGAGGAAAATTAACCCTTACCTTGAATTCTATACCCAGTCAGACTACCAGTAGTAAAGTGTGAAGAGACAATAAAAACATTTTCAGACATGCAATCTCTCAAAAAAATTTACCTCCCATGCACACTTTCTCAGAAAAACTACTAAAGCATGTGCTCTACCAAACAAGGGAGTAAAACAAGAAAGATAAAGGCATGGCACCTAGGAAACAGGAGAGCCCACATGAAACACAGGTGAAGAGAATCCCAAGATCCCAAGATGATAACAGTGCAACAGGCCTAGTGAACAACCACTCTATATGAGCAGGTCAGAAGACTCCAGGAGAGATTTCTTCAAGAAGATGAAATTCAGAGAAAACCTAATGTGTTGAAATATACTGAGAAGAGATTTACACAACTGGGACAGTTGAGGTGGAATAGCGATAAGTATCTAGAAAATTAAGTGAATAAAAAGACAATTGTATGAAAAATGAAAAGGGAAGGAAAATCAATCATGCCACATGATTCATCTGAGAATAGAATTTACATAGTCTTAATAATTTAACACTGATAATCAATCTAACCAAAAATTGTAACTATACTGAAAGATTTGGAGGAAAGGAAGTATGTGTGCGTATGTAGTAGGTGGGGAGGGGGCAGTAAAGGAGAGCTAAATGGTCATCTGCCATGGTGGGAAGTTGATAAAAGGCATCATCATGCCTCATTCTGGAAAAAAATGAAGCAGCAGCAATATTAGCATGAAAGTAGTTACTTCTGGGGAGCAGCAAATATGTGTATTGTGCGCACACATGTCTTGGGGAGAGTAGAATTCCTCTGTATCCTATATGCATATATAAATTACTTAAAGTCAAATCTGAATTTACAAATGAGAATTATGTCCAATACTTGAATAATTACTATACCTGGAAAAAGGCGCATTCAGAATACTTCTTCCAAATTGTCTCTGATCTGGGCTTATTCTGACAATATTTTGCATACATCTGAAAATCATTCTTCTGTGATAAAAAGCAAATTCAAACATATTACCAATTTGTGAACATGTACTTATGTTATCAAGGAAGACTAGGCAAGAGTGAGTATGGCTGAGCATTAAAGGAAAAGTGGACTAAAGGGTCTGCCATACTGGCAGCTGGCCAGGGGCCCTCTTTGTATTCCAAGAACTGCATGGCCATCTGACCAGGATTGGAGGAACACGTAATTATCCAAGTAATTTCAGGATGTCCACCTATCAAGCCTGAAAGAGAGAGAGAAGGCTTCTCTGTCTGAAGTATAAAAATGGAAAATAATTTTTTCATAACTGTGAACTGCTAGGGTACCAAGAAATATGCTCTTCCTAAGCTGTTAGTCTCTTGGTTTTCTGATGAATGAACTTGTAGCTCACTTCCAAGTTACAGCCTGCAGTCCTTGGTTCATTGTTGTTGTTGTTATTAGGCACTGTCGAGTTGATTCCGATGCATAGCGGCCCTATGTACAACAGAACGAAACACTGCCCGGTCCTTCGCCATCCTCACAATTGTTGCTATGCTTGAGCCCATTGTTGCAGCCACTGTGTCAATCCATCTCGTTAAGGGTCTTCCTCTTTTTCACTGACCCTCTATTTTACCAAGCATGATGCCCTTCTCCAGGGACTGATCCTTCCTGATAACATGTCGAAAGTATGTGAGACGAAGTGTCACCATCCTTGCTTCTAATGAGCATTCTGGTTGTACTTCTTCCAAGACAGATTTATTCATTCTTTTGGCAGTCCATGGTATATTGGGATATCATCATTATAGCCTAAACAATTGAGGCATCTGCCCATGCTATTTCCTGTCTCTGGAATCATCTTTCTCTCACCCTAATCCAATGGACTATCTCCTATTCATCTCATGAGTCATCTCTTCTTTAAAGCCATCATTTATAACTCCAGTTGATGTAAGAGCTCCTTTTCTGAGTTCCCATAGGACCCTTTGTGTATCTTTAATACAGCATAACTCACACTGAACACAATCAATGGTTTCCCAATTTTTCTACCTCAGTAGTCTTGGGCTTGGTATTGATATTGCCTAGCACAGTGCTTAACACATAGTAGGTGCTCAGTAGATGACTGTTAAATGAACATGTCATCAAGAGGCATTCATTAAACGATTACTGGTTTCCAAGAACTGTGCTAACCTATGAGAGATACAAAGAACAACAGGATATGATCCCTGTTTCAAACAGTTTCCCATCTGGTTGGAGAGAATATTCACGACCATAGGCAAAGATGTAAGGTAAATATAAAATCCCCAATGAGTAGCACAGACATTGCGTGCCCCATTAGTCCAAAGGAAAGAGAGACTGCTGTTGCTTGAGGAGGTCCAGGAAGACCTTGGCCATAGTTTAAACATGTTTAAAGGCAGGGCATGATGTTGGAAAGGGTGACTACACACGGTTCTTTCTTAGCCTTATTCTCTTCTCATTCCATACACATTTTCCAGGAAAATGTATCTATTTTGAAGCTTTCATCTTTCACCTCTATCAAAATGACTCCCAAATCAAGACGGAACTAATCTTGCAGGAAGAGGAGGAACTTGATAAGTAGAGAAGGGTAAGCAGAAAACATTCTGAGAGAAAGCTCTAAGGAGAGTTTTATCACAAAGGCTGGAAAGTCAATTGTACTAAGCACACTCTTGGGACACAGAGTAATGAGCCTCCCTGAACAGTCTTGTAGAATGAAAAGAACAGACAGCTCTCTGTTTTGTGAAGTTCCCATGGTAGATGCCTTGGTAGCTGAAAGCCAGACTAGATTTGATTCTAAGACTTGACATGTATTAGAGGGGAACTCCAGGCATTTTTTAGGCTAAAACTTAACCAAGCCTAGAATATTTTTGCTAAGATGGTCCCAACTCTCACATGTCATAGCCAGGATGGTCCCTGGACTCCTGGGGTGACCTGTGGGTCAGTAGTCACGAGCTGAGCCCATGAAGCATTTCATAGCACATAATTCAATGGACATTTGCTTGCTCTAGATACCTCATTGCATCCATTTCTGTAACAAAACTTGGTTTATCATTAAATGCTTGCTGGAGTGATGTGTCATCTTCCAAAACATAAAGACAAAACAGAAAATCTATCTTGTCTGTAAATCTATTCTTTTCAATGAGCAGTTATTTTGGTAGCCCATAGTTATATATTTTTCCCTTTTAATAATTTAACTCACCCTTTCCAGGAAACAATGGCCTACTCGTTCTGGAGCATCAAGGCAACTTTCCAGGCTGCTCATGAAAATGCTGTCAAAATTGCGGAGAAAAGAATACGCCATAATTATACACGCAATGTAATAAACTGGTCAGTAAATATGTAAAATAATATCACAAAAAAGAAATATTCAGTTCAGCAATTACATACTCATTATGGAACTCATAGATCTCTGCCATATTTCCAAAGAGAACATCCTTTTTATTTCTCAGGAGAGGTGGCATAAGATCAAACATGTCTGGATTATCCATCTCAGCTCTGTAGCCCTACACAAAAGAAAGACATTTATTCCTTTTTATAATATTTGCATTCACATCTGATTTGGCCACCAAAGGTGTAGGTACAGCAGAATGCACAGAAGTTTTCTGGGTGGAGCTTTTTGCAATTTTAACATTGAAATCTCCTAATTTCCAAAGTCATCCATTTCTTTCTTTCTTTCTTTTTTTGTTTTTTAGAAGGCAGGACAAATAGTCAAGGTTTTCCACTCAGTCAGTAGAATGAAGTGACAGCTCTTTGGCTTTCAGGGTCACTTGTAGTGTAGGAAACAAAATAGAAACCAAATGTGAAAAATTATACTGCAGGCCGTTAACTCTTCCTTAAGCGGGCAATAAGTGTTTGGGTTTTTTTCAGGCCAAATTAATACCATGATCTTTGTGGCAACTGAATATTTATAGCTCATTTTCAGTTCTTTACATCACATTCTCTAAATAGCAGTCTGGGAATAATTATACCAATCTGCCGTATCCCTAAGAGAATAGCTTCTTTCTTCTGTAATAAATTCCGAATCCACACTTCTCACTATTGAGCAGAAATGAATACACACCTTTAACCAACATGCAGCGCCAAACAATGGAAGGAAAAAGGGCCACTGCTGAGATGTGACAACCAAGGAAGGAGGCAGAAACAGAAGACTGTCCCAAACCCCTTCTAATGAAAGTAGCAAGAGATCATTCAGGAAAAGATGGGAAAACACAATGTGAGCCACTTACCAACAAAACAGTGAACAGCTCTCGAACATACACCCTCTCAGTCTGGATCAGCTCATTTAGGACATGGCTAAAATAAAAAGAAAGATGATATTGATCAGTTATTTTATTGCCTGATAATTGTATTGCTAACTCTCCATTACAATCATTATAAATTGTCTATGGTAAAAAATTTTAATGTATAGGAATTACTAATAGTCTTGGTTTTATCATCAAAAGATGAAACTAATTCTATGGTTTCTAGAATAAGTACCACCCAAAGGCCTCTTTAAAATATATTTGAAGAAAAGTGTGGGGGCCCTCACGATTATTATTAATTTGAAAAAAAACTTTATTTCTAACTCACTCAACTTAAGAATCAATTTACTAAAAACTCACAAGATGTATTTGTAAATCTAAGTTTTTTTTTGGACAGCACAGTTTGAGCTATAGTTCCCTCTCTCTCTCACAAAAAAAAAAAGATAGTATGTCAGCACCTTTTTTCCCTTTTCCCAGTAATGTTCTGAAAATTTTTCAGATATGAAGATTTATTCTCCTGGTCTTCCCAAGTAGAGATAATGCGTAAGTTTCTGACACCATTTTGTTTACTGTCTCTGTAATATAAAATATATTCTCCTTCCAATGTGATTTTCAATTGACATCATATTTAAAATTCATTTCCTCATTCTCCAATATAAGTAACCTATTTTAATTTAACTTCTAACTTTGGACTCTGTTTTTTTTTTTTTTTTTACATTTTTAAGCATTTAACATTTAAGAC